TGCCCTCCCCTCTGTTTACTGTCAGTTGGTTCTTTATTTCAATGTCTCTGGTTATATTTTGCTTGCTTATTTGCTTTGTTGACTAGGTTCCACTTACAGGTGAGATCATATGATATTTGTCTTTCACCACCTGGCTGATTTCATTTAGCATAATGCTCTCCAGTTCCATCCATGCTGTCTTGAAGGGTAGGAGCTCCTTCTTTCTTTTCAGCTGTGTAGTATTCCATTGTGTAAATGTACCATAGAACTCAGTCTTATTTAGGCAAGCAAACAGAAAATCACAACACATGATAAATTCTGTTTTACAAATATGCTGTACAAGGGGCATCAGACCCAGCCTGGGAGTGAGAGATATTGGGTGAGGATCAAGGAAGGCTTGCTAGAAAAGGCAACACCTGAGTTGAGTCTTAAAGGCTAAATTACTTCAAGCTTCATCTTCTTGGTTCAGTGTGTCCTGACCTCCATACACCGCATTTTCTATATATCCCCATTATTGTTTGCATTTCATGGTGTGATTATCTTCCTACCTCTTCTCCTAGGTCCTAAATTGCTAGAGAGAAATTATGAGTTTCATTTATTATTACTACCTCAACCATGGCTATGTGACTTGTAGATAGTAAGCATTCAATAACTGTTTACAGAATTAACTGGGGCGGGGGCTGTTTTTTTTGTTTGTTTTACTCCTGATTTTAAGACTCTTATTGTAAAATAGAAGAGAAAACAAAACCCCACAAAATAAATGCATAGCTTAATAATATAAGATGAACAGAACTGTGACCATCATTCAGATCAAGAAACATTGGATGTCTATCCTGGAAACCTCCACAACTCCCCTTCCACTCCCAAGCCTTTTCCTTTCCCCAAAAGTAACCACTATTCTGACTTTTACAAAAATCACCAACGAGGAAACTGACTGGTGTGGCCCATTTAGTAGGGCGTCATCCTGCAAAGCCAAAGTTCACTGGTCTGATTCCCATTCAGATCATGTGTCTGGGTTGCAGGCATGTTTCTCTCCCTTTCTCCCTCACTTCCCCTCTCTCTAAAAATAAATAAATAAATAAATAATATGGTTTTTAATCACCAAGGTGGTACTTTTTGTTTTAATTTCAGATGAAGAGAGAAAGAACAATCATTAGCATTGACTGGTTTTCATTTTAGGTAATAACTCACAGCCGTCCGTTATTGAAGGACCCCACTCTTACGAATAAATTTCATGGTGTGTAGTAATTCGCAGCACAGTTCTGCCTTCGCTTTCTGCTACTTCTGCTCAGCCTAACTGAGCTTTCGCTTTTTGTTCCTACCCCTATGTGTACATCTCGCCACTCCAGAAGCCTCACGAACGAGAAAGAGAGTGACTCTATAGCCTCCTTCCCTGGGAAGCTGCATCTGCCAGGCTACCTGGGCAGAGGTGTTCTCCCAGAGGGCTAATGGGGAAGGCCAAGGGCTGTCTGCCATCCTAGCCTCCTCTGTCAGGAGCCACAGTCATCACACCATGGAATGACTGACTGGGTGAGTATGCTTTCGTACTTTGGTCTCTGGAAACAATGACAGCGGCTCTGAAACCAGTTTGAAACCCAAACTGGTATGACTTTTTCTAAACTGGTATCTGTGGGTAGATTAAAATGATCGAGTTTTTATTTCCAACTATTTCTAAGTTGGACCCGAATGAGGCAGTGGAAACTCATTATAATGCAGTGTTTCCCAATGTATGAGACACATTGTACCTGGTGTTTGCAAGATGATTCTACGTGGTACATAAATGAACATGTTTCAGTTAAGAACATATTTTTTAAGCTTAGGAACACAATTAAAGAATTGTATATTTATTTACAGTTACCTCTTATTTAAGACAAGTAAAAAGGTGTTGATTTGAACTCATTGTTAGGTAAATAATACAGATGTTCTTAGAAGACTCAAACTGGGAAGCACTATTCTATTACATTCCTCGGGGTTCACACCAACCAGTGAAATTATGGTTGGAGAATGCCAAATCTGGAAGAAACCTCGGTGACTATCCAATTCAATTTACTATTTTATTTACTTGTTCACTTAATAAATATTTATCAGGCACTTACTACTTATAACATAAGGGTCTTTGCTGAACTGCAGGGAATCAGAGAGGGACAGTCTAGTGAGAGAGACAAACATATAGTATATACCCAGTTAATTGTAATTATGATAGGTACTATGAAGAAATAAAGCATACATAAAACTATTAACCACAGGATGTATGAATGGAATCTTAAAGGATTAGGAAGAATTAACCAGGCAAAGCAGGGCTTGAAGATGGAGTTGGAGCAGGTGGTATGAAGAGAAGAGAGTGTATGGGACCCTGAGAGGTCAGTGTAGCTGGAATATAGGAGACCACAGTCCCTCATTGTGCAGACGTCTGTGTAGATCACCTGTGGAAGCTAATTCAATCACAACCAACCCAGAAATGGAGGCCCAGGAGGCGAAGTAACTTGACATTGGCCACACATCCTAAGAACTGCAGGGCCAAGGCTGCAATCCATTATTTTATGGGTTCATACATTCACCTATGTAGTGCCCTGTGTGCAGGCCTGTTCTGTGTGCTGGGGATCCTACAAGAAACCAAACAGACAAAAGTCCTACCACAGAGCCTTTATTCTGATATGGTAGAGAGAGTCAATAAACAAACAAGTCAATATAAGCATGGTAGTGGGAGAGAAGTGGTTTAGAGAAAAGTGATGAGGGATGAGGGGTTGGCTTGGGAGGAGATCTGTATTTTTTATGATTGGCCCTCTGAGGATGCAGGCAAAGACCACAAGGAAGCTGGGACTGTCAGGTCTCTTGACCTTACTGAGAGCTCTTTCTACCACTCCAGGCTACTCACTGTCACTCAGGCTCCTTCTGCTCTGCCCTATAAGAACAGATTCAACTTCTCTACTACTGATCATATGCTGACAGACAAAACATTTCAACAGAAAATTCAGTATCCAAGGTATGATCCAGGAGGGATCTACCAGTAGAAATTTTTTCTATAAATGGTGAATGGACTTGGGATTTATAGAGCATCTCATGGGCATTCAGGGTATGCACCCATTTCCCAAAATGTGGCCACCTCTGGTTCTCTAAAGTCCAGAGTGAGACCTATAAATTAGAAGGAAGACTTTACCCTGAGCCCACAGTGACCTCACTTAACACACTTTCCTCTCTGTGCACAAGGACCTCAGCTTCCGTCTTCCTAGCTACATTTTCAATATACCAGTCTTTACTCAAACATGCTAAAACCATGATTTTTTCCTTGACACTTGAGAAAAGTTTGTGAATAGGCATCAGCACAAGAATATCGATTTTTACTTGGCAGTGATTTTTAAATTTCTATAGTGCTTCTAACTGAGTTTAGCAGCTTATTGATTGTTCTGGACAAACCAAAGAATTTGGGAAACAATTGAATAAAAACATTGAATTCAATCACCCAAATATATTTAGGGGCAAAGGTGAAATTTTATCCCTAAGTACTTGAAATTTGCTGACCAGCAAATGAATATTTCTCAACCCCTCTAATGTCTAGAGTTGTGAAGTAATGGAGGAGCTGATGAATGGTTTGTAACCAAGACAGGAGATGCTGGGCTGTGAGGGGGTACCTGTTTCTAGAAACAATGACTGCTGTAAAGGTGAGACAAGGAGAGACTTTGGGTATACTGCCTCCTCTCAGGTCCATGGCAAAGCCGGGGGATAGGTTTCTCATCCCTCCTACCAAGTGTCCCTCAGGAAGCAAGGCTACCCCATTACTGATGGCCTGGGAGCCTGCACTGGGAACACTTAGTTCAACACAACAGCATGAGATAAAGAAAGAGACCTTGCCAATTCCCTTGGCTCTCTACACCTTTTCCTTCATGTTGATTTGTCTAATAATGAGGCCCCAAATAGAGATAAGACATGAGACCATGGGGTACTGATGGGGAAGGAGTGAAGAAGGAGGTGTGGGAATGAAGAGGTAATTTTGAAATATAAGATTAACCACAACAGAGAGAGAGTAGTCATAGTGAATAGAATAATGACAATATGATTGAAAAGAACTGGATGGTGGGAAACCAATGCAGAGAAGATGTGCAGAAGACAAAATCTGCAAAGGCCTTGGGGAAGCCCAGCCTATTCTTATCACAAAACATCAAATCACAGTGCTGTCTGTGAACAGCAGGTGCACAATGAATGCTTTGTGGGAGCAACCTGGCTGTCACACAAATTGCTGTCTAAAACTGTCCATGCATAGTATGCCAATAGCCATGAAACAGAGTCCATCCAATGCAAAACAATGGTTAGTCCACATTATTCATTTAACTGAAGGCCTATCTGTGCAAGTAAGGTTTTTAGACAGTATGACAAGTTTATTGTGGTGGCATACTAGCTGCATCTAGACTTTCACTGGGCTTCTATCAATGTACCAAATTGTACAGCACCCAAAAGGAGCATTGTCAAACTCTGGCACCATTTGTGGTCTTTGTGGCTTAGGTTGGCTGTCAAAGATGTTCCTAGTAAACCATTCCAAGAAGTTAGTTGACTTGGGTGTCTTATTCGATCTTATCTGATTGTTACCCATTGTATTCAGTGAAATTCTAGCATATTGTCATAGAAATGACATTCAGGAGAAAAAAATAGTTTATTTAATTAAATTCAAAATCTTTCAGGAGCTAAGGTAGTAATTAGTAATTACTAATGGGCATAATTAGTAATTATCAAATCCTTAAGTAGGCAGTATTCATATATATAGTATTTATTTCCATCTTAATAACATTATATTATATCCCAGAAGTCTGTATTTCACTAAAAAATATTACATGAGTTAATTCTGGTGATGTGCCTTTAAATTAAATTTATTCAAAGTGCTTGGGAATAACAAAACATGTTCAGAATAAAAGCACTCTAAAATTTTATTTTGTCAAATTTATCTAGTCTATTCTGAATCTAAATTTATATCAGTACTATGTACAAATTTTTTAAAGAAATACACTTATAAATTTATGCTAGTTCTCATTGTATTTCAAAATAAAAATTAAATCAACGTGCTAGATTTCTTGCATTACTTAATATTTTCCAGGAATTGTTTAATCCAGGAAAGAAGAATATCCAGTTCAGTGATGGCTTTGTAGATTCCTCTGTTTCCAATCTGCAAATAAAGTAGAGGTATGTAAGCAGGAATCTTTCAGATTTAAAAAATAAAAGAGTCAAAAAGAAGGATTTGGAATACTTACCCCATAAAATATTCTTTTTATCCTGGTAATGGATTTCATCTCTCTAGCTGATGAAGCACAGGAAATCTAAGAAAGCAACAGTAAATACAGATAATTGTTGAAACTCTTTCATTCACTCATCAAACATTTATTGAGTAAGTATAATGTTCTAGGCATGAATGTGCACTGGAAATAAATAATGCATGACCTCTGTCTTCACAGAACTTATAGTTTCATGGTGGAAGTAGGTGATAAGTAAGAAAAGAAACAAAAATTAAAGTTTACAAAATACAATTAAAACTGCATTTATAATGGACAAGACTCTATGGTAGGAATTTACAGGAATGACCTGCTTTCAATAGGTCAGAGAGAGCTATTTTGAAGAATGACACAAATTAAGATGTGAACAATGAAAAGGAGCCAAAGAAAGATGGAGCTAAAGCTAAATAAAGAGCTAAAGAAAAATGGAGGCAGTTGGGGAGGATGAGAGGAGAGCATGCTTCAGACAGAGGGAAAAGTGTGCAAAGGCCCAGAGGCAGGAAAAGCTAAGTAAGTGCTTTCTAGAAAGTGAAGGTGGGGGCAGGAGTTGTGAAGAGGAAGGGAGGGAGGGAGGGAGGGAGGGAGGAAGGGAGGGAGGGAGGAAAAGAGGACAAGACTGGAGCAATTGAACAAGGAAGATGTGGGTAACATGGGGGATGCAAGAAGGACAAAAAATTTTACTTTTTTTGAAAAATCACCCTAGTTTATTTACATTACACAGTACAATATTCAGGCGTTAATTGCCAGGAGAAAGTACCAAGAAATTAACACTAATTTCTAAGTTAAAAGAAGGAGAAGGCTGATTTCCTGGAGTCCAGCAAGGGGAAACTGCCAGTCTCCTTTGAGGTGAATGTTCAAATCTTTTCTGAGCACATGATTGCCCAAGAGAAAAGTAGGAAGAAATTAACATCATCTTCTATTCTACAAATTTTCATGGAGTTAACAAAAGAACAGGAAAGGAAGGAAAAGGTGAAAATATCTAATTTAACTACTTAGTTTCTACTCATAAAATCTCTCAAATAGACTGAGGAAATTGAATAGGGAAATTCTTCTAAATGCATACAAAAGGAAACCAAGGCCCAGGTGGGTAATCACTCACTCAAGGCGTCTCAGGAGATCCTAACCCAGAAGTAAAAGAGTGTGGGTACATTAATAAAGACAACTAAAACTCATGAAATGGAAGCAGCTAAATGACAACATCTATTAAAACAAATGAAATGTGGCTAATGTCAACTAGCAGGTCCCTTTAGGCCAGAACACAAAAAGGAGAAGTGGAGAGAAGGGGCAGCATGCAGGCCCCTTTTCTTATCAAGAGAATTCCTTATAAGAAATGACTTGACAGTTACATCCTGAATGCTGTTTTGGGGGCTTAAAACGGATGATGGGTCATTACTCTGCCCAAATGGGACTCTACCATCAGGTCAGACCCTGTATATGGAGAGATCCTGGCTGTGAGAGGGGCTTTGGTGATCTGGCACAAAAGAGCTGCAGACAGAACATTTGGGTTAAGTGCGGTCTGTGGGATTCACAAGCACAGGGTTGGACCTCCCTGGGATTAAAGCCGTGAATTAGAAGAGGACATTTCAACCCAGACCAACACTGTGAGGCCAAAGCAATGCATGACAGACCCAGGACAGTGGTAGCCAATGTCAGAGAACATGATCAGAAAGATTTCAGTCATTCACTAAAGAAACATTCCCAAAGTGCCTACTCCGTGTCAGGCCATCTGTTAGGCACTAAAGACATAATGATGAGCAAGGCAGAGTTGGTGAGCAACAGTGTGCTGATTGTGGGAGGGAGGGAGTGTAAGGGGGATAAATGGTAATGGGAAAAAATTAAAAATAAATTTTTAAAAAATTGTAGATTCAGAAGCTCTCTTCTTTACCCAATTCCCCTTCAAGTGAAGGCAGAAATACTGAGAATATGGCTAGGCAAGACTAATCATAGTCAACATGTAATATGTCGGTGTTCTATGTCAGGCACTAATCTGAAAGCTTCAGCTGTAGTAATTCATTCGGGCCTCACAATAACCCTATGAGGTAGGTATTGTTGTTTTCCGCATTTTATGTATTGGAAAACTGGACCATGGAACTTCTTATTCTGCCTATGTTCACACACTAAGTGAATGAGCTGGGACTGAACCCAACTATTCTGCCTCTACAGTCTATTTAAAAACACTGATGAAAAACAAAACAGCATAACTTACAAAAGATATTCCAACTAAGCCAATCTCTTGTTGAAAACATTCAAAATCCAGTTTTAGAGATAAATTAGCCCAAAGATCTCTGCTCTACATTACAAAACAGATATCAGAAATGGCTTTCAAAGACTAAGCTGATTGGCAGAGAAAGAGATTCAACCTGAAAATGTGATTATAAACAAAGGGAGAAACCCCATGTGTGGTATGTGTGGGAATGTATACATGTGTTTTGTTTTCTTTGTTCATTTGTTTTTCAGAGTGGAACTACAAAAGAAAATTCTAGAAATATCAACCTAGTTTCAGCCAAGATAGTAAGTATGGAGAGAATTTAGAGAGGTCTGTCCATTATTTTATAAATGAAGAGTTTGGTTAAATATTAAGTCCTTCAAGGCTAAAATTATATAACATAAAAGTAGTTGGCCCAAATCTTGCACATTGAAAAAAGGAGATTCAATAGAAAAGAGAATCAACGCTTTCCTAATTCCAAGAAAATATATCAAAGTTCTGAGATGTGAGGATCAACTACAAAGCACAGAGGAAGCAAGTAATGTGGCACAATATTAAATATGAAAATGTTAGGATTTAAAGATTAACACTGAAAGCTGGAAACCAGAGAAGCCAGCCAAATCCTGGACATTGCAGAAGTTAAATATCACTCAGGCATTCCTGTGACTATACCCTCTGCCCAGGAAGCTGATCATCCCACAGCAGAGTAGGAAGTACATAAAGGCTGCTGACCTCACCCCATCTAAGGCAGTGCTACCCTAAGTACAGCAAGGAGAGTAGAAAAGGAGAAAAACAAGGTTTGGTAATAAATAAACTAGCATTTCTTACTGCTATTTTTGCCTGTAGAGTTCTGCTTGTGTGTGGGATGCTTTCTGGTGCCTTGAGCTCCAGTTACTATCAATGACCCCTGGTAAACATCTAACCTGAAGGTTCTCATTTTCCTAAATATTATACATATGTCTACATCCAGATTTTACTGCCATGATTCCATTGTTTGAAAGGAAGCCTTTATAAAGGAATGGCTTCCTTTACTTTATATAGTATATAGTTGCATTTGCTGAAAACAGAACACACAACAGAGGATGGGCAGTTTTAGTATAAGAATTGCTGAATGATTTGACAAACTCAACCAAAGCAGATATGATCTAGACTAAAGGCAATTTATTAGTAAGGCTAGAATAACTAGGGACCAGCTCAAAGGAAGGGGTGAGATAGTCAGACAATAACAGACACAAGCCTAATCATTCATCATCAAGTCAAAACATTTTTATCATGTACTTAGCATATGCTAGGCACACAATGGCATTCTGCCAACGTGGCATTGATTTATAAAAGTATCCTACTTAATGAAAATTGCCTTAGGGCTCAAATGATGGCTCATCTACTAAAATTAGCAGTGATGCAAAATCACAATACTATGTGATAAATACTGTGATTAAAAAATAATACAATAATCCTTTTGTATTTTTTCTCAGAAAAAAGGCAATCTGACTGTGAAATCCCAGACGGCTTCCAGAAAGATAAAACAAGTGAGTTGCATCTTGCAGGATAAGATGGAGTGGAAAGAGCAGGGACAAAGAACAAGCCAGCAAAGGAAATATGATGCTCCGAGACTGGAGAGAGTAGAAGTGGTTTAAACACCCTTCAGGACTCGGCTAAAACCCCCAGACTCAATCACCCGAGGTTTGGCCCCCAGCCTCCAGTCCTGCGGCACATCCTGCTGTGTGTTCCCTTCTCAGCACCTGCCACAGCCTGGGATGAGCTACCGCTGGCTGAGAGCATTTTCAAGGAGTTCTATGAGGCCAGAGATGCCTATCCATTTTTGTTGAATCCCCAGCATCTTGAATAGTGTTCAGCAAATACTAGATAATGTTTGTTTACTAGATGAATCAATTCATGAAATGTAAGCATCAGTTTATGGCTACAGGACACTGGTTTAATAATAGTTTGAAGCATGTCCCAGGGATTAGAGGTTCAGAGCTCTGTTTAAAATAGTGGGATGAACAAATGACACAATTCTTAATTTGGGTCCCCAGTGTACTCAACTTGTTTGAAAAATCATACACACTTCTATTGTGTATGACAGTTAAAGCAAAAATAAAAAATCTGTTTCCTCTGAAAATTCTGGGAAAATGAAATGCATAGGTCAATGAGTAGACAGCTACCTATGTATAGTCTCTGAGAGAAGTACCTACTCATACTGTGTTCTCACAGAGAACAACTTCAATCCTTTCTTCAAAAAGTTTTATTTTATTTTCTCCTATTATAAATATATGCCATATTCTCACAACCCTTAAAGGAGTATAAAACCATATGTAAGATCTTATATATTTATTTACCTCCACATACCACTTTAAAATGTATTATAACCATCCCTCTTGGTATTCTTTTGTTTATAAGGTTTTTGGTCTGTATTTTATTTTATTTTATTTTTATTTTATTTTATTTTATTTTATTTTATTTTATTTTTATTTTATTTTATTTTATTTTATTTTATTTTGCTAACCTTCATGGTTAAAGTAGTTTCTACTTTGGCCATGACCTTGGTTTTCTGAAACTTTTTACTCCCAAAATGTAAATGATAGATGAGGCATTAGATTAAAAGTTAAACTAATTTTATTTTATTATGTGAATAGTAGATGTAGGTTTTCCAGCAAATCTTACTAAGTTTTTTTTTTACTTTTTTTTTTAAGATTTTATTTATTTATCTTTAGAGGGGAAGGGAAAGGGAGAGGGAGAGAAACATCAATGTATGGTTGCCTTTCGTGCGTCCCCTGCTGGGAACTGGCCTGCAACCCAGGCATGTGCCCTGACTGGGAATCGAACTGCGATCGTATGGTTC